ACTTGTTTATGCACATAAATATATAAATATATGTTTTGATTTCTGGCGGGGGGGGGGGGGCGAACTGCGGGCTCTCCGTGCATGTGCCTCTTTGCCTTATTTACTCATTTTATCCGCCGTCTATGGGTGGTGGTGTTGTTGTTGTTTTTTTTTCCCCCCGTGACGTGCGACGCGCGAGGGCCGCTAGAGTGCGGGCGAAGCAAAGTACATCTCGGTGCGCCGGTGCGACACACACACCACACACACACGTGCAGGAGCTCGAGGCAGCAGCGGGCGGTGGGAAGGTGTGGCCTGGTGGCTGCGGTGGGAGGGCGGTGGTCGAAGTTCCCGCATGAATGTTTCGTCGACCGGAGGATGTGGAGCTGCGGCGGACGCGGTTGACGGACTTCAGACCGCTGCGCCGGCTTCTCGTGACGGGCGGTCTTGGGTTCGTTGGGAGCAACTTCATCAACCACTTCATGCGGGCGCACGCGGAGGTGCACGTGTACAACCTGGACAAGGTGGACTACTGCAGCAGCTTCAAGTCGATCGAGGACCCCGATAACCCCCGCTACCACTTCATCCGCGGCAACCTCACCAACGCGGACCTGCTCATGCAGGTGCTCCGCCAGCACGACATTGACACCATCATTAACTTTGCGGCGCAGAGCCACGTCGACAACAGCTTCGGCAACAGCCTTTCCTTCACGTACAATAACGTCCTGGGGACGCATGTGCTGCTGGAGTGCGCGCGGACGTACGGCAAGATTGAGAAGTTTATTCACGTCAGCACGGACGAGGTGTACGGGCAGGTCACGGACTCCAAGAAGGAGGAGGGCACGCTCAACCCCACCAACCCGTACGCGGCGACAAAGGCGGCGGTGGAGTACATCGTCAAGTCGTACCATATATCGTTTGGGCTGCCGTGCATCATCACCCGGGGGAACAACGTGTACGGGCCGTACCAGTACCCGGAGAAGGTCGTACCGCGGTTCATTATGCTCATGAATGCGGGGAAGAAGTTGACCATTCAAGGCAATGGTAGCAATAAACGCACATTTATACATGCAAGTGATGTGGCGCGGGCATTTATCACAATCCTCAACCGCGGCTTCATCGGCGACGTCTACAACATTGGCTCGCACGACGAGAAGAGCGTCTTGGAGATTGCCCGCATGACTGTCAAGTACATGCGACCGCGCGTGTGTGGAGGACCGAAGCCGCCGCCAGACCCAACGGAAGAGGAGCTGTCGCAGCACCTCGTGTTTGTGCGGGACCGTGATTTTAACGACGAGCGCTACAACATCAGCGTCGAGAAGCTGCAGGAGTTGGGCTGGCGGCAGGAGGTGGAGTTTGAGGAGGGGTTTAGAGCGACAGTGGCGTGGTATCGGGAGGCATTCGCCAATCACTTCTGGGAGAACCTGCGCTGGGACATACCGGACGCCTGCACACCGCACGGCGATCAGCTGGAGGTTTTGCCGTTGTTCTCCTGAGAAGGAGGCGGACGGAAACATGATATTTTGGTTCCTGTGTGTAGTATACATTTGCAAATATACATATATGTCTGTGTGTGTGTTTGTGGGCCTGCAGTGGCAGTGTGCTGCCTCTGGGGCCTCATTCTTCCTTGCCCGCACGACTTTGATGGACGGCTGCTGCTATATTTGCCCTGCCTCTCTCTTCCCTTCCCCTCCCCCCCTTTCCCTCTCCTGCGCCGCCCACGCGACGCGGCTGGTGCGGGGTGCCTGCGTAGGTGGATACTCAAGGAGGAGTTAGTCAGACCGAGCTGTTAGGGGAGAGGCAACGCGGGGTGGGGGGTCACTTGGGTGCGGGGGAAGAAGCAGCGGGCCGAACACCACAAAGCCGCACGCAGCGGCACGCGAACAGGTAACGAGGGGGACAACTCGCCGTTCTCGTTCGTGCCTTTACTTTCTGCGTGCGTGTCGACAAACCCGCGGCGAGGCGAGGGCGCATAAAAGGGAAGCAGCAATAAAGTTGGGGGGGGAAAAAAAATCAAGAGCGAAGTACTCTGCCCACCCTAATATTTTTACTACAGTTCCAACGCATATACACGCAATAACTCACACACACACACACACACAAACAAACAAACACCCTCCACTCCCCACGCCCACCCACATAAGCACATACATATATTGACTGATTGACGTATACACCGCGGGGAGCGACGTGTGGCGGGGGGTGAGAGAAATAGTGTGGAGGGGGAGCGGGTGAAAATACGAAAGTAAAAGAAGAAAAGAAAAAGAAAAAAAAAGAGGGAAGCGAGAGAGAGAGAGAGAGTGATTACTCGGCACCATCCACACTTGCACATTTGTCGCCAGGCGTCACCGCCCAGGCGCACGTGTGACAGTTCCTTTGCGATGCGCAACAACGCTGCCGAGAAGCTGCTCAGCACGGCGCGAACGGAGGGTCTCTCGATCACGGAGAATGGCTTTGCCGAGTTCATGGACTGCGCTGACCCCTTGCGGGAGCACCGTGAGGCCTTTCACTTCCCCAAGCGACGGGAGGGAGGGGATTACGTGTACGTCAGCGGCAACTCGCTGGGGCTGCAGCACAAGGACGTGGAGTCGAGCGTCGGCGCGGCGCTGAAGAAGTGGCGTGACCTCGGCGTGTTGGGGAACTACCAACACCCGAACCCATGGGAGGAGCTGGAGAGCCTGGGTAGAAAAGAGGTGGCGGCGATTGTGGGGGCGCAGGAAAGCGAGGTGGTCACGATGAACTCGTTTGGCGTCAACCTGCACCTGCTCCTCATGGCGTTTTACAGGCCGAAGGGGAAGCGACGGCGCATCTTGACGTGGAACCACTCCTCCCCCAGTAGCACGCATGCACTCATATCACAGCTGGAGGCGCGTGGCATGAATCCAGCGGAGGATCTCATCTTTGTGGGTGCCACGCAAGAGGAGAATTGGGAAAGCAGTTCGGTTAATATTCCCATAGAACAGTTTCACTCTGTCGTTGAGAAGTGCGGGGATGAAATTGCAGTTGCGGTGTTGAGTGGGGTCCAATTTTTTACCGGGCAGCTGTTTGACATTCAGGCCATCACAAAGGCGGCCCATGCGAAGGGTATCCTTGTCGGCGTAGACTGTGCCCACGCGGTGGGCAATGTCCCACTGCAATTGCACGACTGGGAGGTGGACTTTGCGTGCTGGTGCAACTACCGGTATCTTAACAGCGGCCCCGGCAACCTCGGGGGCGTGTTTGTGCACAGCAAGCACACCTCGGTGGAGAATGAGCTGAGACCGCTGCGTGGTTGGTGGGGCCATGACTGTCGCAGCTGCTACAGTCTGCAACATAGCTTTGAGCCCGCAGAGGGGGCGGCGGGCTTTCAGATTAGCAACGTCCCAGCCCTCGGCATGATGGCAATGCTGCCAAGCGTCCGGCTTATGGCGGAGGTTGGGATGGGGCCGCTGCGCGAGAAGTCGCTGCTGCTGACCTCCTACATGGAGCTGCTGCTGGGGGAGCTGGTGCCGCAGGGCTCGATGGAGGTTCTCACGCCCGTCGACCCCAACCAGCGTGGGGCGCAGCTCTCCATTCGCATCCTGCCGAACCGGCTCTCCGCTGACCTCGCGCTGAAGGACGCGTATGAGTGCGGCACCGGTGAGGACAGCGACGCCGACCGTATGGAGCGCCACCTCTGCGAAAAGGGCATCGTCGTGAGCCACTGCCCGCCCAACGTCGTCCGCCTCGCCCCCGTGCCGCTGTACAACTCCTTCATGGACGTTCTGCTGACGGTGCGGGCAATTGCGGAGTGCTTCTAGTGAGCAGCGCAGCCACACCCACGCCCCCGTGGCCGACCCCCAGTGCTTCCTGGAGGCATCACACACACACGCGCGCGGCGGGAGAGCGAAAGGAAGGAAGAGAAGTGGGGAGTACCAAAGGAACAACAACAAAATACCAATAAAAACAAAAACGCACAATCAAAATATATGTAAAAGGCGCATAAAACGAAGGAGGGTGGGGGGGGGGATGGAGGGAGTTAGTAACATCCAACAGCCACAACAGCAAATACGCGAGGGGCCCGCATGTTTGCCGACACATACGTCAAAGCCCACATGCATACCTGCACGCGGCAAGGGACGCACACGCACAAGAAAACGCACGACACCCAAAATGCGCAATCCAAAAAAAAAACACGAAAAGAAAAGGAGAGAAGGATGAAGGCTGCTGAGGCGATAAATGAAGAGCGATGATGTGTCTGTGTGTGTGTGTGTGTGTGTGAAGGCGTGTGTGTGTGACCTACAGAGATCCCCAAATGCGGATGAGGCACGCATCTGTATGTATGTATATGGGTGGATTGAGGGAAGGAGGGAGGTGTGTGTACGTGTGCGGTGGGGAAGAAGGACGGAAGTCTAGAGGCACAGAGAGTAGGGGGAGATGAACCATGGGCCAGACACCGGCCGGCGAAGGACGCAGAGAAGAAGGCTCAGAGCATAGAAAAAAAAAAACGAAAAGAAAAGAAAAAGAAAAAAGAAACAATTACAAAAAGGCTTGGAGAGGCATTAATTATGCCTGCATCGGGATGGCGCCGAAGGTGGACCGACACGCAGTGTGAACTCTTAAAAACTTGGCATTGGGACAAGGCAGAGAGGAAACGTCCAGAATGACACAGATGTGAAGTAAGAGAGGCAAAGTGTCTTCCTTTTGCCGAGTACAGGTATGGATGGGAGGATGCGTGTAAGCTGCAGACATTGAATTGATGTTCTCTTTCACTTCCTCTTATTCCCATGGTTTATTCATTTTTTTTTTCTAGTGGGGTACTGAAGCATTGATGGGGCATCACAATGATGACGTGTGGTGCGCAGCTCTTGTTTTTGTTTTTATTGGTTTTCTGTATTGCTGTTTGTGTTTTTTTTGTTAGTTTTGGTTCTCCTGTGTGAGAGACACTCGCCGTCGTTTTACATCCACGCCTCTCAATGTGTTTATATATATGCATGTGTGTGTGTGTATATGTATATGTATGTATACGTCTATGGGTGTATGCGTGTGTGTTTGTTTGTTTGCTTGTGTGGGCGGATTGTATAAAGGCGTGGCAAGTGAATTGCGACAATCGTTGAAGCGAGGCGATGTGTGTGTGAGGGAACGATGATGATGAGCTTTGGTTTGCTTCTTTGCCACGGCGTATACCTTCTGTGTGTGTGTGTGTGTGTGTGCTTTTCCGGCTTTTTTTTTGCTTGTTTCTGCTTTTGCTCTACTCTTGTCCCCGCCGATGGCCTTATTTTTGCGCGAGAGTTGCGAGAGGTGCGAGCGGGCGATCAAAATCCATGCGGGAGGACAGTACAAAATGTGGAGGAATTGTGCCTTTGCGTAGGCATACATATATGTGTACATATATAAGTATACATATATGTGTACATATACGTGTGTGCGTATGCATGCGTCTCTCTCTC